GTGTTCAAATCTTCAAAGGACTTCTCAGTAACTAAAAGGCCAAGCTTACTGATATTGGGCCTGTAGTCTCCTGAATACCCGAGAGGCATAGGATAATGATATTTGGCCAGTAACATGTTGGGATGAAGGGCTACCAAGTTTGATAAATCATGAAGTCAGAGATGTTTCGGACAACTTTTATGACATGTGTATCAATGTTTTTTTTTATAAATTCCTTGTGAACAGAACATCATTATTGTGAAAATGATTTGTTGAATTCACCGATATACTTTTGATAGGTAAAAAAACCCAGGACAAGTATGTATTTCCAAACTTTTAATGATATAATCTCTATATAACACACATACACCAATAACACATCCTACACGCCCTCCACTCACTAGCTGGAACAGGAAGGATGTTCAAAATCATCACAAGCTTCACCTAAACGTTGAGTCATACTTCCAAATCGAAACTTGCAAACGAAAAACAGCATGGACAAAGGTATGGATGATTGCTTGATGCCGTGAAATGATTGACGGAGTCGACAGCTTCCATAAACTCTCCTGTTCTTTACAGCCTAATTATCAGTTTTTGATTTTTTTCTATGGATATGCAGTACAATCATTTCTATTGGTATATATTATGAGCGTGAAGAGGATTAAGTAATTTAAGCATCATGTATCCACACAGTTATTCTAAAATACAACAATACTATTTCAAAATAATGAATACAAAATACTGTGTATGTTGCCTTATCAGAGTCCAGCTGTTCAAATTTCATAATACTTAGGCCAAAAAGAAAAATACCTGTTTCAGGTACCCTACCGACATATTCTAATTTTCAGTCATGCTACCTGAAACAGACATTGTTTTGCCCTTAGGCTTACAACAATTATAAAAAAAAAAGGATTTGGTAAGTTATTCCCTCTTCCCCTCCAAAAAACAATTCATAAAGGGGTACCAAAATTCATAACAATTACCGATTTTAATCATAATATTTCTGCCTTATGGGGATATTTTTTTTGCACATGAATGCATTTTAACATCTTTGAAATTATTTCAAATGAAATTAATTTGGCTATGACCCTGCCTACATTAATACGATTAAAATTATTCCTTTTTACCAGAATAGAATTATTATAGGTTGTTGAAATATCAGTCTTCTGTCTCAGAAATGGTCTTGTATTGCATTACATATATTCATCGAAGATTGTTGTCAAAAAGAAATTCTATGGAAAAATATACATGTACAGGTCATTTGAAATATCACAGATCAAAAACAACAAACAAATTAAGTGTCTAAAGCTTTCTACCTAATAATGTCAATAACAATTCATTTAGAATGCAACAACTCTCCTTAGACTAAACAGGTCATATTGAAAGACTTGATAATAAATAAATGTATCGAAACACTTCATTTCAAACTTCTCCTCTCATGTCAAACAGTGCACTACAGATCACTAATGCTCTGCTTTAATCAATCAGGCTAAAGGGAAATTCCCTCTAGCCTTGTCCAAAACAAGTGACTATGACACCGTTCTAACATACCTCCCCTTTAAAGGTAAAAGTCGTCCTCGAATAGACTAAACCTAAGGAGATTATTACACAAAGAACCCAACTCCCTACGAGGCTGCCGATGTCCTGATGTCAATTTTTCTTGGTTTGGTTGTGTTTTGCGTCCTATTAACAGCTATGGTCATTTGACGACATGGTGGTGGAGGAAAGCCGGAGTGTCTGGAGAATAACCACCGACCTGCAGCCAGTAGCTGGCGACTGCCCCACGTACGCCTCGAACCCGCGACCCAGTGGTGGAGGGCTAGAGGTAGCAGAATGTCAGACGCCTTAACCACTAGGCCACCGTGGCCCCTATAGCTACCTCTAGCCAAGTCAGTGACTAGTGACTAGGTGGTTCACCACTTTTGTGATGTACCTCTGACTTAATGGTAAAAGTTACATTTATAACTTAACACAAACTTTGATTATGAATGTTTTTGTCTAATTTATCAATATCTTAAAATTCTTATAACAGAAGTCACGTGTCAAACATTTTGCTTCAACCTTTTCAAATAAGATTAAGAAATTATTTGACAATATTTTGTCCGTCATACACATAACAATTGATTACATAAAAAATAAAACGCATAATACAAAACGTTTAAGCTGTCAAGTTCTAGCTCAGAATCCGTAAATACAAACAAAACCAGCTAATTGGCTTTGAAATACATGTACATGTCAAACCAGTACTAATTAATATCAATACATGTTCCATATCAGGAAAACATAATTCATATATGAATGACAGGGTGTTGACTCATAATTTCAAAAAGCAATAATTCTATTGATCGACACCAAAAATGAAGCAAAACATTCTAGGTTCTTCAGCTATTAGATCTACTTATATCACATTCAAATGTCATGAGATAACTCAAAGTTTCCCATCCTAGTGATCTCATCGTGATTTGTACCTGTGTTAAGAGGCCACTTTGGGGGATTTCTTGAGGGTGGTCTCTTAACACGGGTTTGGCTACTTCAATAAAGATGGTGACATGATTGTCAAGACTGTTTATGAGGATGTTTCAGAAAAAACAAATTGTTATAATACTGATCATTTAGATTGGAAAGACACATGAGAGGCAAAAGTAAATTCCTCTTATTGCCATGATCAATTTGTCAAAGGGAAAGGTGATAGCAAGTGATATTTGATAATAACAGGAACAGTGTTTTGTCAAAGTGATCAAACTTTTTTCTACAGTTTAAGTGTTCAATCAAATTTTATACACTACATAAAAACCTTCTCTGTTATATATAAAAAAAGTTAGTATCTGTTTTGGCTACTTGTTTAACCCTTTCACCACTGTAGACCATAATGGACTTATCCAGATCAATGCATGGTAGAGTTTACTAAAGTTACATAGGGGTGAAAGGGTTTACACCCTGTAAAAGTGTGAGAATTAACACTCAAGAGTCATTACAATAAAATTTCAGTTCAATTTTCAGTTCAAGCATTGACATGTAATTTAATTTAAGTATATTCTAAAAATTGGCAATAGAACAAGTTGTTTGAGTGACGTTCATGTCAAACCATGATGATATGAAATATACTAAATTACTTACAAGACACTGGGTGTTTCAGAGAAGCATGGTATTTTGAGGTAATTGGGAAATTATAATTAGTTAAGATGTGTTAATTTCTGATTGTACAATGTGTATGAAATCATTACAAAAAAACACAAGCAAACCGGGAAGAAGTGATGACAAAAACTATTCACATCAATACTTGTATAACTTAAATGTTCAATTTTAAATGATGTCCTGCATATATATACCAGACTCTAAATGTAAAAAAAAAACAAAGTAGATATGGAGATATACACAAGATTCATTGTTTATCCTGCCAAATGACAACAAATCTAAAAATAGATATGAGTATTATTGAAGTGGAGATACAAGAACAAAGAGCTCTCATCATATCAAAGCAATTATACCATGATATTGATACAAACAAAATACAGCAAGTGTAAATAACACTGTTAAAGCATAGACCATATCAACAACAAAATAAAGCTTGTAGTGTAAACAACTTTTCTATAGGACATTCAATTTTCCTTTGTTTTAAAGCTAAATAATAAGAGGATTAGTGTTAAATCTATTTCTTATTAAAGAACAGAAATAACCACATTTATCACCTTTAATATGCTCTTACTCAAAGTAATATTTTATCAACCTGTTTTATTAATACATGATATTGACCTCATTAAAAGTCATGAGCTGTATCACCATCCACAGCCTCATGATACACACAGCTAACAAATGACATACAATTACGTCTTAATACATTTCTTGATTAAAGTAAATATACATGTCCTACCTGGATACAGTCTTTCCCTATAACAAATGTCCTTTTCCTTAGTAATCAACATTGTTATATATAGATTGATATGTGAATATAAATGTACAATACACATAACTTATTGTTTTACCTTAATTGACCTAGTTTACTGAAAAACTTGGGAGTAATGTGAGCAGACAAAGTTGTTCTTTTCATCTACCAAAAAAAGTATACACGATTGTGTTGCAAACCTGGTGATTTCTTAAAGTTTCATTCTTATAATAAATTACAACAAGACCACGATTTATTAACTGGGAAGAAGGGTATTTAGTAATACAAAGATATTGTCTAGTACCATAATTACAACAAAACTGATTGTATTACAAAATACTTTTTTGTCTAACGAAGTATTTATCATACAGCAGGAAGGCTGCTTCCTCCTCTGCTCAAACTCAACACAGCAGGGCATTTTGGCTATATCATGCGATTATCTCAATGCGTGTGGAGAAGTACGATTTCTAAAGTGCATTGCTCGAAGGGTCAGTTGTAGTGCATAAATATGATGCACTAATAAAGTCATGTTAAAACACACATTATTTGATCTAACAATTAAATGTAGTTATCACTTATTAGTCACTTACCCAATTAACTACAGAGATAGGTATCATGACAGCTACTGTGATAACTTTGTAACATGTTAGCACCTTCAGGGAGCAATCTTTCCATTTAACAAATGTAAAGTATTTGTAAAAAATAACAAAAAAGATCTTTTTAATTTACCAGAGTATCAGTTTTAAAACAGTAAATGACACTTATAATGATATAACATATTGGATACAGGTATCACTGTTAAATCTATCACCGTCATCTAGTTCATCTTTACTGCTATAACACAATAAAAATGTAATTCTGTTACCAAATTCTATATCCAGATTCAATCCATGTAGACAGGTATAATAAACAGGAGGAAAATGTGGAGAAAAGGTGTTAATTTTACCTCTGAGATTCTCTTATAAACATGTATTTACGAGTATTATTAAAACTCTTCAGTTTTTAAATAAACTTTAAAAAAAAGGATTAAGGAAAAGATATAGATATTAAATTATGTGATAAGGCTGAAAAACAATCTTCTATCTTCACCGCAAAAATGTCTGGTTGGAGGAATAAACTCCCCCCCCCCCCCCCCCCCCCCCCCCCACCAAGTCATAAATACACCACTGTAACAACATCCCAGTAGGTATAACTGCTCTATATCTGTATCAACACTATCATAACAAACTTTTAAAATCTCATACAACAAAAATGTTTTCGATTTATCAGCTCAACACTGACTACATTCTAGTAGCCAATCAAACAAGAATGTTTGCATGAATCTGGACAGAATCAGGTCGGTAACCATGATCAGCTTCCGTTTTATTATTTTCTGATATTCCCTTACAGAACATATTACATCACAGTCCTCGACTTTCTTTGCCGCTATGCTGCTGCAGACTCTAGCGTCGCTTGATAAGAATCTCTTCTGTTGGATTGATGCCTTCCTGTTTGAGACGGGACAGGATCGGGCTGTACATGTTGTGTGAGAGAGGAATCTGAACACCCTTCTTCTGAATCTCACCTGAAACATAAGGTCAAAGGTCATTCCCAGGACATAAATTAGATATGTAAGTCACTTATGTTTATATTATATTTAACAGGAGAGGAAAAATGCATGGGTCCCGAACTCTAGACGAAAGCTCTACCAATTGAGCTATCAGGTCACCAACAATCAACTCAATCCAGTTCCACTACATTCCTCCCTCCTTTTCTAAGTCTTCGCACCCGAAGACACAACTATTTACAACCCAGGTCGGGTATCCCCTTGCCAATCATACACTAAATGCTTGAAACAAGGGTTGGTCACAGGCACCACTGTACAGGAGAGGAAAAATGCATGGCCAGACGGGGTTCGAACCCGGGACCCCCAAACTCTAGATGGACACTCTACAAATTGAGACAATCGATCCAGTCTAGTTCCGCTACATTATATAACATAAGGTTAAAGGTCATTCCTAGTGTACAAGTTAGATTTGTAAGTCATTAATATTTTATATTCATATCACAAGGTTAAAGATAATATCTGATATGCAAATTAGATCTGTAAGTCCCTTATGTTCTGTGAGATCAAGTAGAACTTCTTTAATCTGGACACTTCTATAGCAATGTAACAGAATGACTATTGTCCTGGATCAATGAAAACATGAACAGGTACTTAGTAAACTTCCTGAATGTAAAGTCCAGGAAATGAGTGTTAGTGATTGTCATTGACTGGGTTAATGACATTCCATAATGTTGTGAAGTTGTGACACCATTGCATTGTTCCGTGTGATGTTACAGTGAGTGACATGTAAAACAGTACCCATAAAGGCCTCCCGTTACAGTAACAGATAGGGTGTTTAACATCGTTTGGCGTTCTCACCTTCTAGGATCATCTTGGTGGCGATGCCTGTGGGAAGTCCTACAGTACGTGACATGGCGGAGTGTCCTTTGGCATCCCCGTATACAACAAGTCCCACATGTCTCTCCTCCTCCGATCCATCGGCCCACTGGACCCCAATGTTGTGGTGCATAAGGATAAGATCCCTCTCGCCTGGACCTGCATCATAGAAAACAATACGTCAGTATTCTCTATCCTGGACCTGCCACACTGAAAAATAATCCTAGACCTAACATATTACCTCCTTACAACCTGTCCTGTTGATTTTTAATTATTACTATATTGATAATAAGTGAGTCAATATAAATTTGGGAGTATAGGTACCGTAGATTTATCAGTAAGAAAGTGATAACTCAAGTTACAGGTGACTCGTACATACAAGGGAGGTAATTACAGTGGTACTAACCATAGTTAAGTTTCTTTGACAGGAAGTTAGATAGGGTGGCTACAGGTGTTCCCTTCATATCTATCAGCTCTTCCTCTAGTAGTCCCAATCTGAAATATACACATAAAATAATTTAACTCTACGTCATAAATAGTCTTCACCTGACACAATCTTTAGTATTCTCAACATTAATCATAGAAACAAGGTCAACTCTGCAGACTGTCTCAGTACAACTTTCCAATGTTTATTATGACATAAAGTTAAGTGTTACGATCCCAGCAGATTTATTTACACATAATTACTTCCAATTTCAAGGTAATTTTCCTTTGTAAGTGAGAAGTAACCAATCCTCTGTAGCATGCGTGTACACATGTTCTATAAAGCACACATGTGCTGTGTGATGTTTTCATGCCTTCATTACACTATTTACTCAGTCACCTTACCTTCATCTGACAATTGCCCAGTAAAGCATTGTGTACACTGAGGTGTTGATAATATACAAGATGACAACCCAATTGACTAGTTGTGCTATATGAACCGGAATACATATTTACCAGCCTGAAGAAAATATTTCTACATATTGTAACTGTCACCTATTGTTTGACTTGGTCAATGGAACTCCACACTTACTGTTCTATAGCCTGTAGCCTCTGCTCTGATCGCCCGACCTGCTCAAACACCAAGTCCTTCAGGGTATCGCCAAACAGATCATGGGACTTGCCAAACACACCACACATATAAGCTTTCTGGAGAAGAAAGACAGAAAGACATAGTGAATATTTTATAGAGTCTGATACATGAACTTAACTTTGAATAAAATCAATGGGTCTAACCAAAGCATTGTATATGTGATTTTACCTATGAGCGATATAATAATAATAACAATCTGAGGTTCTTATACACCGCTTTATCACAACCTAACTCGTAGGTCGTCTCAAAGCGTTTCATAAATTATTATCCGTGGTTTTAGGACCTTTGCAACCAGCCAATATCTTTCTCAACTCCCTGGGGAGCATACAGCCAGTGCTGCCATTTCGGCACTAACAGCTAGCATTCAACAATTCAAGCACTGCCCAACCATATACTCATTTACAGCTGAGTAGACTGGAACAAGCGGAGTAAAGTATCTTGCTCAAAGATACAACACAGTGCCATGACGCGACTCGAACCCGTAACCCTATGGTCACGTGCCCGGCGTCCTACTACTAGACTTCCATGCCTCCTATATATAAGTATGACAGATGTAACAAGGTTACCGCGAGCGGTATATAATACGCCCGTCACACATTGAGAGCAGTTGTTTGTATGATTGAAATTTATGAAGTATTTGTGAGTAATTGATATTAAAAGAAAAATCATTCAACATAACTGGTAGATCAATGAGTGCAATACAACATCATGGAACGCATGCATCGCATTAATGAAACCAAGGGGAATAACTCCACAAATTACGGTCGGATAATGGCGGTTATCGAACTTGTCCGAGCTTTCATGGTAATTAACCTTGTTGTGAAGTTTGAAGTAAATCCGTTAATAATTACTCGAGATATCGAGCGGACACTGTTTCGGCAAGTCCATAAAGGGGCATAACTCCACAAATTATGGTCGGATAATGGCGGTTATC